TGGTTGGTCGGTTGGTCGGTTGGTCGGTTGGTCGCTTGGTCGCTTGGTCGCTTGGTTGGTTGCTTGGTCGGTCGGTTGGTCGGGTGGTTGGTTGGTTGTTTGTTTGTTTGGTTTGTCGGTCGGTTTGTCGGTTGGTTGGTTGATTGGTCGGCTGGTTGAGTGGTTGATCCTTAGCCTTCCCCGCCGCTGAGAGGTCAGCGCTTCCAGGCGTCTCTCTAGCGGGCCTCGGGCGCGCCCTCAGCGCGACGGGGGCGGGGGGCGGGGGGGGGAGGAGGGGAGTAGGGTGGTGAGCGGGAGGAGGACGAGGCGTGACGAGGGACACAGACCAGGCGAAGGAGGGCGAGGAGGAGGAGGAGGAGGAGAAGGAGTGAGGAGTGAGGAGTGAGGCCCTCATCCATCCATCCCTTCCTCCGGATGAGGAGGAGGCGTCGGGCGAGGCGGGGGCAGGGCAGGCATTGACTTCCCAGAGTGCTAGACAAGAGCCAACGATGAAAACCAATTAGATTGATCTGAGCTGCTGAAAGCCTCAACTGCAATTTGGAGTGGACGGTCCTGGTGTTGTTGTCTAGCCCTCCCCTCGTGGAGGGTCAGGGGGAGGGAAACGGTGAGTGTCGAGAAGTACTGCTCTTCAGCATTTGTCGCCCAGTGCGAGCACTGGCGCGTACCTAGGCATGTCCGCGCGCCTTCGGTGGACGAGCCGGATCTGGAGCCCCGAGATGGCAGCGCGCAGTTGTTGCCGTGGAGGAGCAGACAACGGCAAGAAAAGCGGCAGGTCTGCTGTGCTCGCGGACGCTCGCCACGCATATTAATTTCCGTCGGGGAGGCAGGTCACGAGCGGCGACCGTATCCATATCCACCTCGCGGTCTGGATTCCGGGGCGCGATCCAGTGGATACGTGGTCGCACAGATACGTTCCGCGCGGGACATCCGCGAACAAAAAGGCCCCGTATCTGCGGGATCGCGGTCCAGGGGCCCGGCCCGCCAGGCCGCTGATAGTTACGGATTTGTGTGTCGCCCACGAGCTTCGCTGGAAGTGTAAAGGCACTCAGCGCGCAGGCTGCACAGTACTCCTTCGTGATTTGGCGTTGGTCTTTGCCACTCGTGTCCAGACCTTCTGCTGCGTCCACCACCGTGGGTCTCGTGGTGATCCGTCATTTTCGAGAGCTGTCTGAGGCAGCGGAAACGAGCCATTCAGTACGAAGTCGTCGCAAACAGTGAGGTGCCTTGCTTAATTTTGGCCTCGGCTGGAAGCGCAGACAGCCATGGCGAGTATGTTCGGGAACGCTTTGCTCGCCCAGGAGGAGTATTCAAAATAGTCAAAACATAGTCTTGGGATGATGCTTTATAGTATGTCTTGGTTTGTTTAAGTATGTCTTCGCCATTTTTTGGAATCGCTTCGCTCATTCCGCCAGCCCATCTCGCATCACTGAGCCTTTTGGGGCCGCTGGGGGGCCTCGTCAGCGTCGCTTGGGGGCCTCCTGAGGGCCTCTTGGGGGCTTTTGGGGCCTCTCAGGGGCCTCTTGAGGCCTCCTGGGGGCTTCTTAAGGCCGAGGGCTCGAAGTTTTGTTTTGTGTTCCCCCTTTGGGGCATCGCTTGGGGCCCTCTTGGGCCCCTCTTGGGCCGTCTTGGATGCCTCTGGGGCCGTCTTGGAGCCCTCTTGGGCCATCTTGGGGCCTTCTTGGGAGCTTCTTGGGCCCTCTTGGGGCGATCTTGGGGGCCTCTTGGGCCGTCTTGGGGCGTCGGGAAGCCGAAAAGATGGACACGCCAAAATCTGCCCAAAACCTAAGTAAAAGTAATGAATGTTGCCTCTTGGGGCCCTCTGGGGAGTGCTCTTGGAGGCCTCTTGGGGTGTCTGCGGGCCATCTTGGGCGTCTTGGAACGATCGTGTGGCATCTCGGAGCACTCTTGAACCATCTTGGAGGGCTCTTGGCGGCCTCGTGGCCCTTCTTGGGGCTCTCTGGAGGGCCACGGGGGCGGCGCCCAGGAGGAAAACCATCTCTGATCCGACCCTGCTGGGGATCGCCCGGGGTACTTTTCGTCCGGGGACCCCCAGGGGCCGCCCCGCGCGCGCGAAGTAGAAGTATTATTTAGCAGTTACCGGAGATCTTAGCACGCCTCTGGCCCGTTGGGCCGGCGAATTTATTCGTTCAAAACCCGCCTGTAGGAGGACACGCCCGACCTAAGCCCATGTGGTCCGAACGGCAAAAATGGAATAGGCGTACAATTGCGGGAGTCCGCGCGGATCTCTCGGTTCGGCGCTGAACCAGAGGGAGTTGCGCGGACCTCGGGACGTGTGCTCTCTTTTTGTTGGGTTGCTCTGGCGATGGAGGGGGCGCCGAGGCCCAGGGGCTGCGGTGGTGGATCAGGAGGGGAAAAAACACACAGACACAATTAATCATCGATTCCCCCGAAAATATGCGAAAATATGGGAAGTGGAGGGGACGACAAAAACCCAGAACATATGGGAAAATATGGGGAATTCTGTTAGTTGTGTGTATTTACTTGTGTGTGTGTGTGTGTGTCAGGGCCCCTTCAGTTTGCCGCGGTTCACCCCAAAATGAGGTTTCGAGGTTTTGATCTACACTCTACGCGTACCCGACAGTTGCTTCCCACCCGCCCATCTGGCGCGGGCCCGGGTGGTAGGCTCGGGTCGGACGCAAGCGGGGGATCTGGACACGGGGGGCTCACGAAAGCTGCCGCATGTGCAGCCGACCTCGGCCCCGCCGCTGGGCACATCTTTCCCTAATACCCTCTGCGCGCCGGCCCCGGGAGGCGCCGGGGAAGCGCTAGTCCGCTACCCCCCGCTTTACGCCTCCTCGCCCGTCTGGCCCCCGAGGGCGCGGCGAGGGCGCCGAGGCCGGACCTGAGCCCGCAGCGGCAGCGGCAGCGGCAGCAGCGACAGCAGCAGCAGCAGCAGTGACCACGCCCCGCGCCAGCCTGCGCCTTGCGCGGGCCGGCCCCGGCGCCCCCGCCGGGCGGCCCGTGGCCCCCCTCCCCCCGCCGGGACCTCATCTCCTCCTCCCCCTCCTTCTGCTCCTTCTGCTCCTTCTGCTCCTTCTGCTCCTCCTCCTCCTCCTCCTCCTTCTCCTCCTCCTTCTGCTCCTCCTCCTCCTCCTCCTCATCATCATCATCATCCTCCTCCTCGTTATTTTTCTCCTCCTCCTTCGCTTCCTCGTTCTCTTCTTCCTTTTTCTCCTCCTCCTCCTCCTCCTCCTCCTCCTCCTCCTCCTCCTCCTCCTCCTCCTCCTCCTCCTCCTCCTCCTCCTCCTCCCTCCTCCTCCTCCTCCTCCTCCTCCGCCGGCCATGATTCTGTACATGGTGGCGCTGCTCTTCTTCGCGCTCAGCGGGCCGCTGATGGCGCTGTCGTCCTGGCTGCCGTGGGGCGGGCTGCTGGCCGCGGGATCGCCCCGGGGCACCCTCATTCCTTACCCTCCCCCCCATCCCCCCTACGCCTCGTCCGCCCCCTCCTCCTTCCTCCTCCTCCTCCTCCTCCTCTCCCTCCCTCCTCCTCCTCCTCCTCCTCCTCCTCCTCTCCTCCCTACCCCTCCTCCTCCTGCTCCTCCTGCTCCTCTCCTCCTCCTCCTCCTTCTCTTCCCCCCCCTCCTCCTCCTCCTCCTCCTCCTCCTCATCCTCCTCCTTTTCATCCCCTATGTTTACGTCAGGCGGACTTCGATGGCTTAGATCTTAACGTTCGTCCTTCTCTTCTTCGTTTGTTGCACCTCATCATCATCAGCAGCATCATAATCAGCATCATCAGCATCAGCAGCATCATCGTCATCATCATCAGCAGCATCATCAGCATCATCATCAGCATCAGCATGATCATCATCAGCATCATCGCCATGAGCATCCCCCTCCTGGGCCCGCGCAGAAAGGGCTGAGCTGCCAGAGCGGCCGGCAGTTGACAGGCAGGTGGCCACCGTCTCAAGAGAGGGTCCGCCCGCGAGGAGTCGTGTAACCATGCAGGTGTTGGCGGAGGGCCCTCGGTGATGCGTGTTGAGGTTAAACAGTTCTTATGATTGGCAATCCTCCTCAGTCTTACCGTTCGTCCCTTCGTGTTTCGTCCTGCCCCTCCCAGTCCATCCTACTTAGTCGTCTCCCTCTTTGTCAGACTGTGCCTCCCCATCCGCCTTCTCGACACGCCCCTCGCAGTTCTGCCTCTGAGCCTCCCCTTGGCGTCGCTTCGACGTGTCCATGTTTTCTGCGAGGACCATCGAGAAGCACCCTCGATCATCGAGCAGAACAGCGCGCGCGAAAACGACGAGTGCACAGGAAATTGGCGTCCGAGCGATGGCAAGTCCTCTCCACCTCCACTTCACCCCCCGCATCCTCGACCTCCTCCCCCAGCCCTCCTCCTCCCGCGGTGCGCGCCGTGCAATGCGCGGCCTTGTTGCGCCGGACCTCTTCCTCCGCGCAGCGCTCGCCTTTGCACAGTGATCGTCTTGGGCTTCGTCGCTGCCGACGCTGCTTCAACTCTGGCAACTCGGTCACGACCGCTCTGCTTCAACGTCGGCCGCGGCCGATTTGGGAATCGGTCGCGACCGGCCGCGACCAGTTGGGAGTGCCGATCGGTCGCTACGGTGGGGACGTTGGTTGAATAATGTGCCCAGGAGGCTTCAGACCCTGGGGAGGCCCTTGTCTAATGAGGGCGGCGGTGATATCCATGGCCAATCCACGATCGAAGTTCCACTGGCTTCGAGACCCTGGATTCCTTCTCCATTCCCAGACATGCGACGTCACAATGTTTTCGATACGGGGTTCCTAAGTCCCGACCCTTTCCCCAGGACCCGTTCTTCGTCCTGAGTCGTTTATTGACGCTCCCGAGGCCTGGCGAGGGCCCCCGGAGGCGAAAACGGCCAACAACCGCCTGCTCCAATTTTTTCTTGGAGTCGGGTCTCAGGGAATCGCCACCGAGCAGCGCAGATCCGAGGAGGCCCCCCGGCGGGGCCCGCCTGCGGGCAGAGCAAGGGGCCGCCCCCTCGGGGAAACAAGGGGGGCCCATGGCGCCCTGGGGCCCCGGATGGCGAGCAGGCCAGATGGGCGGGGCCAGACCCCCGACGTCGTGATTTTTGTCGCGACGTCGTGTGGTTGCTCTCCTCCTCCTCCTCCTCCTCCTCCTCCTCCTCCTCCTCCTCCTCCTCGTTCTCCTCCTCCTCCTCCTCCTCCTCCTCCTCCTCCTCCTCCTCCTCCTCCTCCCCCCTCCTCCTACTCCCCCTCCTCCTCTCCTCCTCCTCCTCCTCCTCCTACTCCTCCTCCTCCTCCTCCTCCTCCTCCTCCTCCTCCTCCCCCTCCTCCTCCTCCTCCTCCTCCTCCTCCTCCTCCTCCTCCTCCTTCACCTCCTCCTCCTCCTCCTCCTCCTCCTCCTCCTCCTCCTCCTCCTCCTCATCATCATCATCATCATCATCATCACCATCACCATCAATATCATCATCAAGACTGCCACGGGAGCTGCCTGCGTGGGTGCGTGGCCTGGGGCCGCCTGCGTAAGCCGTGGCGTGGCTGTCACCCTCGCAGTTGGGCCGAGCTTCCGGGTGCGGGAAGCGGCTTGAGACCTACCTCTTGTGGCTCATTCGCCCACAACCGCATTTTAGGACCTCGAGGTCCTACCCCTGTCAGAGGATGAGGATGCTGCCTAGGGTGGTGGAGGCCAGGGACCGCTCCCGTTTTAGTTGTGTGTTTTTCCCGACGGTGGTACTCAGCCCCCCTTCTGGCCTGCCCCCCCCCCCCTCCTGGGAGGTGCTCGTCCTTCCGTGATCGCGCTTGAGCGAGGCCACTGGCTGCCTGCCTTCTGACAGCACCCCTGTGGCCCCACCAGCACAAAACTCCTCCTCCTCCTCCTCCTCCTCCTCCTCCTCCTCCTCGTCTTCCTCCTCCTCTCCACCTCCTCCCCCTCCTCCGCCTCCTCCTCCGCCTCCCCTCCTCCTCCTCCTCCTCCTCCCCGACGTCGTGATTCTTTCGCAACGTCGACCCCCAGAGGTCTGGACCCCTTCCAATGGACCGGTTTTTCATCCTGAGGGGAACGAGCAGTGACAAAAACATGTCCACACCAATTTCTCGGATCCGCGCTGGACCCCCCTGGCGGCGCCTCTGGCGCCGCCCCTGGCGCGCTCCGCGAGCCAGGGAAGGAGGTCCAGCGCCGATGCGAGAAATCCGCGCGGACCTCCGAGTTTTATGTTTATGTCATACTTCGTTCCCCGACCCTTCTCCGGAACCCGTTTTTCATCCTGGGTCGTTTTTGTTGGCGGTCCCGAGGCCTGGTAAGGGCCCCCAGAGGCCGAAAGCGGCGAAAAACCTCCCGCCGTGATTTTTTCATGATTCGATGGGGGTCTGGGGATGCCAGAAGCATTAGGGCGGCGGATCGAACAGATCAGCGCGGACGACAAACGCCACGCCGGCGGCGTGACATCGCTAGCGCCTGCCGGGAGGCCGGGCGCGCACAGCGTGGCCGGCCCGGGAGGGGGTTGGATGGGCGCGCGCGGGGTCCGCGCGCGCTGTGTCCAGCGCGTGCGGCCCCTGGCACGGCCAGCCGAGGAGGGAGGAGCAGGAGGAGGAGGAGGAGGAGGAGGAGGAGGAGGAGGAGGAGGAGGAGAACCCAGGAGGAGGAGGAGAGGAGGTTGAAGGGGAGGAGAGAAGAGGATGAGAAGGAGGAGGAGGAGGAGGATGAGAGAGGAGGAGGAGGAAGAAGGAAAAAGAGGAGAGGAAGAGGAGGAGAGGAGGAGGATGAGGAGGAGGAGAGGAGGGGGAGGGGGAAAAGGAGGATGAGGAGGAGGAGGAGGAGAGGTGAGCGCTCGGCCGCCGCATGCTCCGCGGTGTGTGTGTATGTATGTTTTTTTTTGTGCGTGTATGTTGTGTATGTTGTTTGTGTGTGTGTGTCTCTGTGTGTCTGTGTGTGTCTGTGCCTGTGTCTGTGTCTGTGTCGTGTCGTGTCTGCGTCTGTGTCTGCGTCTGTGTCTGCGTCTGTGTCTGTGCCTGTGCCTGTGTATGTGTCTGTGTGTGAGGGTGAGTGCGAGTGCGAGTGTGAGCGTGAGTGTGAGTGAATGTGTGTGTAAAGCCAAGAGCGCGTGCCGTCTGCCTGCTGCTCTCCCCCCTACTTTGCCATGGAGGAGGCGGGTCCTCATGGAAACGGGTCCTGAGGTTCGTCGCCGTTTTCGGGCTGTCGGTGCCCTCTATGGGCCCCGGAACGATCAGAAAACGACTCGGGATCAGAAACTCGGTCTGGGGAAAGGCACCAGGGTCCAGGACCCGTTTCCCCCCCCCCCCCTCTCCCCTTCTCCCCCTTTCCCCCTCCCCTCGCGTCTCACCGCGAGGGGCCCCTGGTCCCCCCGCCGCGTGAGCTGGCCCGGCTGCGCCGCGCTCGCTCCCACTCGACTGTCTACGCCGCGCCGCCGCGCGCATGGCCGCAACGGCATCGAAGCGTGCGTACATGCTTGTGTGGCTTCGTTCCCTGGATGGTGTCTTGGCAACCCATGTGGGCGTTCTCGCTACTGGACCCCATCTTACCTTTGCACGACTCACATCCTCGACCTGGATGTGCAAAGCTCCCGCAGGCGCACTGGTTCTGATAGCGACAAGGACCCGAGCCTGGCTCTGGCACATCCCGAAGTGTTTCATGCTCTGGAGGCGATCGGGCCTTCCGCGGCCCCCTCCCCCCCCGTTCCTTCCCGGCCTTCCTAAACCCCCCAGTGCCCAATTTGTGCCGCAGAAGCCCTGCCGCAGCCACGACCGCAGCTTGGATCCAAGGCGCGGCCAATCAAAAGGCTGCGTGCATGCTTGGCCGTGTGGTTTGCACGCTGCGGCTCGTTCCGTTCTCGCCTCTGCTCTCTTGCAGTGTTCGCCTCGGCCTGCCCCTCGCCCGGCAGGACGCGGCATCGGTTCGACCGCGGTCGTCACACGTGCGGTGGTGGTTTAAGCTTGCGCGTCCCGCATTCCGCTGGCCATCTGCTGTTTCGGCGCTGCTGCGGGATGCGCAGTGCTTGTACATGCTTCAAACTTAATGGCGGTCCCCTCTGCACTTGCATGTGTGTCCGTACGCGCAGGGCGAGCACAGCGTTTGTTGAGAGCTCGGCGGGAAGCTTTCCCGGGCAACTCAGCACAACCCTCGACATGCGACATCGTAAAAATTCCATGGCCTCGTGCACGATAACTAGTGCTGGATACTCCTTGGCTCCAGTAGATTTTCAATGTATGACAGATCGTTCCGTGAGGGCAACAGAATTCGAAATCAGGCAAGACGCCGATCGACGCCGAGATGCGAGGACCGCTTCTAGCTATTGCAGGTACGGTTGACTGCAACCGCCGCGGCCTGAGGGGGAGGTAGCACTCCCACGAAATGGAGCCGCCGGCGTCTTTCCGCGACATCGGCGCGGTGTGGAACCCGACCCCAGACATGCGACGTCTTGATTTTTTCAATACGGGGCCCCTGGAAGTCCCGACCCTTTCCCCGAGGCCGGTTTTTCGTCCCGAGTCGATGTTTGACGGTCCCGAGGCCCAGCGGGGGCCCCCCGAGGCCGAACATGGCCGAAAACCTCCCGTCCTGATTTTTGTACGACGCGATCATGTCTGGGCCGATGAATCGGCGATGCGTCGGCGATGCGGGCGCGACCTCAGGTCGCATCTTTGAAGATGCCTCCGAGGGCCCGGCCTGCTCTACCTGCTCGCCCTCCTGGCCGCCGGCGCGGGGCTCGCGCGCGTGCTGCTGCGGCGCTACCGCGAAGGAGCCGCGCGCCTCCGGGGGGGAGGTCGGGATGCAGGGGCCCTTGGAAGTCCCAGGCGCTAGCCGATCCCAGGCACGATCGCGCGGTACAGAACTCAGGACGGGAGGTTTTCGGCCATTCTCGGCCTCGGGGGGCCCTCGCCGGGCCCCGGGGCCGTCAAGAAACGACTCGGGACGAAGAACCGGTCCTGGGGAATTGGTCGAGACTTCCAGGGACCCCGTATTGAAAAAATCAGGGTGTCGCGTGCCTGGGATCGGACGATGGAATGTTGTGCCAAGGCCTTCGCTCCCATCCTCCTTCCTTCTCTTCGTCCTCCATCATCCCTCCTCCTTCCTCTCCTCCTTCCTCCTCGTCGTCAGCGTCCACCCCGTTCTTGGAGAAGTGATGAGGAAGATGAGGAGGACAGCGACCGGTGGGGCGAGCACGGAAAAGGAGGGAAAAGGGCAAAGGGAGATAGTCTTTCTGTTGAAGGGAGTGGGCACATGACGCATCACTACCTCATCTGAGCACGTTCAAGGGCGAAACGCACTTGCGGAGAAGCAGAGCGAGGGAGGAGAGCTCGCAGGACACCGTGGGAGAAGAGACAGAATTAGGTTGCCGGCCTGAGTACGTAGGCAGATAACTGAATGTATTGTGTGTGTGGGGGGATGTTACGCGCGAGTAGTTATGTGCGTGGGCGTGGCTGGCAAAGTGCGGGTCACGCTGCCGCGCGATGGAAAAGCAGACAAGGCCAGGGCACACAAGCGAGGAGGAGGACGGAGGAGCCGAAATGACTGTGTGGCGGTGGTCGCGACGCCGGTCCTGGGGTGACTTAAAGTGCCCGAGTGTGCTGGCGTATGGTCATTTACATGTCACAAGCATCTGCGCTTGTGTGCGCCAGCTGCTGAGCGAAGTGCACGCCAGTGCGAGACGGAACGAGGGACAGAGAGAAACAGAGGGAGGGACTGCTTACGAGAAGTGCGCGCACGAATCCCCCCCCCCAACGGGATTGTTGGGGGTGGGATGCTCCTGCGGGCGCTACGCGATGCTCGTGTCCCAGCCCTCCCCCCCCACCCTGCCTCTGCTGCGCGCGAGAGCGAGCTCCTCCTTCGAACGCGACCCCCCACGCAGCCCCCTCTTTGAAAGGGGTGGGTGAACTGGCGGTGTGTCCACGGGGCATCGCTCCGCGATAATGAGTATCGCGTCGCCCCGCGATGGAAGCATCGAGCGAAGACCCGTCGGCCATGCGTCGAGCGCGCGTCGCGCTATACGCAGTGGCGCAGTATCACACTTTCGACGACGAGAGTGTTCGCGCTCGGGTCGGCGCGCGGGGCCACGCAGACTGCCGGTGCGCCGAGTCGGCGAGGGGCTCGGCGACGACACGGTCTGCGCTGGAAATCGGCACCCGGCGCCACGCAGCTTCCCTGCTTGCCTGGACATCGCTCGTGCGCGCGTGCAGGCGAAGGCTCGCGCGCCGCAGGGGAGGCGCAATCCCAGCACGAAACGCCTCGCGCCGGGGTCGACTCGCGGAGCCAATCCCATGTCGACCGCGACCGGCAAGCGCCCGAGCGCGCGCGGGGGGGCTCCTCGCGCGGCGTCGGCGGCCTTCTCGGCAAGCGATGTTCGCGCGGCGGTCGGCGCGTAGCGCCAAGCCGGATGGGCGCCTCGCTGCGCGGCTGGTGACGTGCGAGTGCGCGCGGGCGTCCCTGCGGTTGGACCGCAGCGGCGTCGCATAAGCAATTGATCGCTCCGCAGCCACGACGCGGGCGGGGGGGCTGCTAGGGCGCCGCAGGCGAACCCTACCCCTACCCCCCACGATTTCTGAGGGGGAGGGTGGGTTTCACTCCGTTCGGGAGCTCCCGAGCGAAGTGGACCCCACCCTCCCCCTCAGAAATCGTGGGGGGTCGGGGTAGGGTTCGCATGTGGCCACCTAGCTGCACTAGAAGACAGCAGCAGCAGCAGGAGGAGGGGGAGGAGGGGGGGGGGGAGGAGGAGGAGGAGGCCCAGGAGGAGGAGGAGGAGGAGGAGGAGGCGGAGGAGGAGGAGGAGGAGGAGGAGGAGGAGGAGGAGCAGCGTTGCTCGCGCTGGGGTCGGCGCGCGGCGCCAGGCAGCTTCCTCGCTCGCTCGGCGAGCCTTCGCGCGCGCACGGAGCGCCTCGGGCATCGCAGGGTTGGCCGAACCTCAAGGGCTCCCTCGAGGGCGCGAAGTTATTCGCGCTTCGCGCTTCGCGGTCCTCGTTCCTCCTCCCCCTCCTCCTCGTCCTCCTATTCTCCCTTTGGGGGGGCGGCGCGAGAGCGCGAAGTTATTCGCGCTTCGCGCTTCGCGCAGCGCGAAGCGCGAAGTTGGGAGCCCTTGGAACCTGGAAACGCAGCACGCAGCGCTGGGGTCGGGGCGCGGCGCCTGCGTCGTGTCTCGCGACTTGGCCGGCGCATGGAAGCACGCCAGGTGCAGTCGCCAGGCAGACGCCACGCGGGGTGGAGGGGGGGGGCGGCTGCGTGCGAAGGCGTCCGCGGAGAGCGACGCGCGCGGGCGGCGCGCAGAAGCGCCCCCTGGACGCGCCAGGGGGCGCCGCGTGCGAGCGGCGGGCACGCACGGAAACGCCCTCGGGGCGCGCCAGAACGCGCCGCGCGCGAGCGGGCCTGCGCGAAAGAGCCTGCGGGGCGAGAGGGGGGAACTTTTGCACGGCCTGGACCTACAGCGTGCACTATCACTCCCGGAAGCCGGATGGCGAGAAGTGGCCGCGCAGCGCGATGCTCTTGCATGGCAGCACGAGCTGGCTGCACATAGTAGTTGGCGCCCAAGTCGCCGACGGCTGATCCCGAGGGTTTCGTCTGGAGGCAGCGCCAGCCGAGCCCGCGGACGATGGTTGCTTTGTGCTGGGGTTGGGGCACATGTGTGTCCTGGCGTTAGTGCGGTGCAGGAAAGCCGCGGTGCACGTTGTTATGATTGCCCGAAAGAGGAGCGACAAGGAATAGGCAGAAAGCAGCAGTGGTGCCGAGGCGGGGCGGTGCATGAGGAGAAGGAGGGGAAAGAGGATGACAAGGAGGAGGAAATAAGGAGGAGAAGGAGGAGGGAAGATGGGGTAAGGGATGAAGGGGGGACGCAGTAGGGTAGAGGCGGGTGGGTGGATGTGGATGGGGGGAGAGGCGGGTAGGACAGAGGAGGAAGGAGAGAGGAGGGATGAGAGAGAAGGAGAAGGACGAGGAAGAGGAAGAAGGGGAGGGGGTGAAGATCGGAGGATAACACATCAGACAAGACGCTGTTTCAAGCACAGCCAAGGTGTCGAGCGACCTCATGTCCGGAAGGGCCTCGAGACATAGCTGGTGAACATTGTCCTTCCCTCGAGTCGAGGAGGAGGAGGAGGAGGAGGAGGAGGAGGAGGAAGAGGAGGGCGGAATGGCGGGTGACCAAGACGTCCGTCGTCGTGCTGGTTTTTCACAGCGCTGGCCCTCGGAGGTCTGGACCTTGTCCCTGGAGCTGGCTTGTCACCGCGAGCCGTTATCTGACGGCCCTGGCTCTCTGCGATGGCCCTCGGAAGCCCAACATTGGGAGAACAAATTACCTTGCGACGTACCCAACCTATTTTGCATCGAGTGGAAAAAGACGAAGGCCAATATTGGCAGGAACGACGACAGTGCGTGCGCGGCGATTTGTTGTGCTAATCTGATTCTGCGTGGTTCCCCACTCCGCTGGCCCCCCAGCTGCCCTCGAAAGTGGGCACGGTTTCGCGGATCACAGCCCCCCAGAGATGACGAGCTCTAATCTGAGTCTGCGTGAGATCCCACTCCGTTGGCCCCCACAGCAGCCCTCGAAAGTGGCGACGGTTTCGCAGATCGCATCCCCCCAGTGATGGCGAGGTCTAATCTCAATCTGCGGCGAGTGCCCCTTTACGCGGGCCCCCCCAGCAGCCCACGAAAGTGGCGACGGCTTCGCAGATCGGAGCCTTCCAGAATCTGCGGCGAGTACCCACTATGCTGGCCCCACAGCAGCCCTCGAAAGTGGCGCCAGTTTGACAGATCGCAGCCACCCAGGGATGGCGAGGTCTAATCTGAATCTGCGGCGAGTACCCACTATTCTGGCCCCCCAGCAGCCTTCGAAAGTGGCGACAGTTCGACAGATCGCAGCCCCCCCAAGGAACAGCGAGTTCTAATCTGAGCCTGCGGCGAGTGCCCCTTTCTGCTGGCCCCCCCAGCAGCCCTCGACAGTGGCGACAGTTTCGCAGATCACAGCGCCCCAGGGATGGCGAGGTCTAATCTTAGCCTGCGGCGACTTGGGAGAACGAAAACAACAGACACCCGCCACGTTTGCTTCCACGGCGGTAGGAAGTTCGGGAAAGCGGAGCTTCGCTCGGGAACTTCTGCTCAGCGTGTCGCGCCTCCCGCCCTGGCCCACCGCGCTTCAGTGCGATACGCTCAGCACGCCCCCGTTCCCAACGTCCCGAGCTCTTGCCACCCCCCCCCGTCCCACGAAGCAGATCGGCACGGCCTCGGCTTGCAGGGCGCAGCGTGTCGCAGGGAGCGCCGCCGCGACACCCCAGATGCGACGCTGCGAAGAAGACGCGCAACAGCGTGCCGAAAAAGATCACGGCGGGGGCCCCGGGCCCCATCTTCCTGCTATCCCCTCTCCGAGGCGCACCGGCCCGTGACGGCCCCGGGGCCCCAAAACACCCGGGCCCAATTCAATAAAGCGGCGAGAGCCGCCGCGCCGCCTAGGCCTCAGGGTTTTCAAAAGGTCAAAAGTTAAAAAAAAAAATGTGCAAAAAGTTTGAAAAAAAAACAATAGCTTGAAAAAGGTCAGTGCTCTCTGGGGCGCGGGGCCCGAAGAGCCGCGGCTCGCCGCGGGCCTGCCCGGGCCGGGGGCCCGCCAGGCCCCCCCCCCGCTCGGCGGCGCTGCGCCCGCGGCCCCTCCCCCCGCGGAGGAGGGCCCGAGGCCCTCCTGCCGGGCGCCCTGCGCCGGCTGCGGCAGAGCTGGCGGCTGGGGACGGCGCAGGCGCCGCGCCGTGCCGCGCCGGGGGCCGTCCCTTGCCTGAGCGTACCTTCCTCCGCCTCCCTCCTCCTCCTCCTCCTCCTCCTCCTCCTCCTCCTCCTCCCCTCCTCCTCCTCCTCCTCCTCCTCCTCCCCTCCTCCTCCTCAATCTCCTCCTCTCCTCCTCCTCCTCCTCCTCCTCCTCCTCCTCCTCCTCCTCCTCTCCCTCTCCTCCTCCTCCCCTCCTCCTCCTCCTCCTCCTCCTCCTCCTCCTCCTCCTCCTCCTCCTCCTCCTCCTCCTCCTCCTCCTCCTCCTCCTCTCCCCCTGCACCCCCCCCTCCCCTGCAGCGGCACTCGGCGGTCCAAAGGTGTGGCCCTCAGGGTTGGACGGACGGCAAGGGGGGTAGGAGTAGGAGTAGGAACCAGTGGCGCATGCAGTACCGATGGTGACCACATTACAGAGAAGGCCCTCCCTGCCGCCTTGCTTGGTCGGCCCGGCTCAGGACTTTGGGAGTTCACCCTTTCTATCTGCGATTCACGTCCAGTACGTGTGTGTGTGTGTGTGCGTGTGTGCGTGTGTGTGTGTGTGTGGGGGGGTGAACATGGCTTGCCCAGGGAGCGCAGTTGCTTGTCAGCGGTCCCTCCGCAATGCCCACAAAACCAAGCCTTTAAACCTTTGAATTGGTATGATAGTTGAGGAGGTGTGATGGGTGCAGCCAGCCCCCCGCGACAAGGATTCTGGCACCCTCCCCGACGGAGCGTAGATGGTGTCACCAACGTTGATGATATCAGGGCAGGCAGACTTCCGCCACATGGCGGCAGTGGTAGGACTGGCCGAGCCAAAACACTTCAGACACTTATGTTGACACTCCGAGAGCCTATGAGCTGACATGGGCGGGGCGAGAGCAGCAGCAGCGGGGCGAGGAGTGGGGGGAGAGGGAGGTGGGACCCCCTCTCTTTTCCAATCCCTCGCTTCCAAAACAGCAGCCTTCTCAGCAGCAAAGCAGTCGAGTGTGGCCCTCAGGAGCCTCATCCTAACACGCATGGCTTTACTCCCCACGAGGTGCACTTGGTGTCGGGAGGCCTCGGGGTTCCTACACATGTTCGCTGCGCAATCTGCCAGCTCGTCAGCTACTGTGTTGGCTACAGCCAGACTGCTTCGAGAGCGGTCATCTACAATGCCACTCCCATCCTGGTGACTTCTGGTGAACTGAATAGGTGCTTGGTGATGAGCTCTATCACGCATGAGTTCGGCTATCTTGGCCACAAATTTTCATCTGAACCCTTCAGGCTGAGGTAGTTCTGGGCATCCCAACTCTCAGCCAGAGTTTCGAAATCAGTTATTTAATCGCTTCGCTCATGCCGCCGGCCCTGGAGCCCTCTTCAGGGCCTCTTGGGGGCCTCTTGGGGACCTCTTGGGAGTCTCTTGGGGCTCCTTGGCGGCGTTTTGGAGGCCCCCAGGGCCTCTTGGGGGGCTCTTGGGGGTAGTCGATTGCGGCTCCCCCCTCGGAGGCCACGATCCTCGTGAGGGGTGTCGAAAAATACCCTCCCCTGGAGTGGTCTGGTGGCTTCTCCCGGGCTTCTCTCGGGACCTTGCCGGGG